GATAGTTATATGCTAGGCCTAAACTGATTTTATAGAACATAAAATATGTATACATATTAGAAAACAAGACGATACCTGCACAGCGAGAGGATGATAACCTATCTCACTTTCGCTGTTAACCTCGATATCAGGCACAAGTCGCAACGCAACTTCGTCAACAAAGTTGTCTATATAGTTTAACGAGCGGAGATCATAATTTGCAGAAGCGACTACAAAAGGGACTCCCCTCCCCCATTATATAGTGAAATATCTCAACACTTTTTAGCTCTAAAATAAAAGGTTAATTAACGCACAATTTGTTTATGTTTGTGTGAGTTAATGTGTGTTTGCAGTGAGTCGTGAGGGATAAACCATGAGAACAAACAGGAACATGCATGGGGTTGACACATTTCAATTTGCATGGCTTATGGTGCATGTATCCAACTCCTCATCTTATATGATAAGAGTTGTGTACTTTAACTACAGACTGCATCTAGAATAAAAGGACACAAGTTTTTTTATTTACTTTTGTCATTCATTTTGTTAGTATTTAGGTGGGAAAAAAGTAGATGACATACAATGATGTGACACAAATAATGTTTGCATACTTTCATGTGAGATAATTTTTTTTTTAATAACATCAGCGTGAGATAATTTTTATTTATCATTTGTTTCTGGACTTGAGTATCTCATTTCTTAAAAAAAAAAAAAAAAAGAAATTGTATTTTATGTTTTTCCTGCTAGGACGCCGTAAAGAAAATTAAACATTAAACATTAAACATACTGAGCATTTGTTAAAGAAAAAGAATCCCGTTTTCCACCAATCCATAAATTTAAAATGAACTTAGGTTTTTAAACATTAACTAATAAGGATAATTACATACAACTATCATTTGATTTACCTAAGTTGTTTTATTTAGTTATGAGATAACTGTAACCGAAATCTGTTGATAGGTGTATCACATCACTATACAGGCTAGTTCCAACCGAAATCTGCTAGTCTGAACAATCTTGTTGTTCCCAAGACTGTTTAATAGCAGTATACCATCGCTTATTCCCTTTGAATTTTGCATCAGCTTTCACTATTCACTAATATACTTGTCAACCTTTGTTTTTGTTTTTGTATTTTTTGCTCTTTTGACGACCTTTACAATGTCAGAAACCGACCAAGCTTTGAAGCGTCTATGTAAGAAGAGAGAGAGAGAGCATCAAACTGAAACAATTAATAATAATCATGATACTTATATTGACCATTAATATTTTGAAAGTCCTAAAAAATGTTTTTTTGTCATAACAAATATTTCATCTCACTATAATAAGAACCGATTATGTATAAGAGCATCCCCATCAGTGAACCTGATGGGGAGAGGTTCATAGGAATAAAAAAATAAATTTTTTTTTTTTTACTTTTTCAAAAAAAAAAAAAAAAAATTTAGCGAATCACAACCTGCCACGTGGCGAATCCGTGACGAACCGGATTCACCACGACGAACCCACGCGCACCGGGTTCATCACCAGGGGCGAAGCCAGAGTCTTCTTTTAGTGGGTGCACAGATGTATTTAATATAAACCAAAAATAATGCTAAAACTTGAAACAGTGGAGCATCGAAACCGGGTCCCTTGAAAGCTATGGGTGCAACATAGCCGATATTCCAATGAGCACTCACATGTTCATTGTAAAAAACTTTAGTTTCTAAATGATTAAGGGTGCACGTGCACCCATACCTCTCAACGTGGCTTCGCCCCTGTTCATCACTGTTCCTCTTGAAAAACGTGTGAATCCTCCCTTAGAATCCCTAATGGGGATGCTCGGGTAGTATCTCTTGGGTAGTGTCGTGGGTCTTGGTTACTGTCGTGGGTATCCAGAACCGATGCATGGAGTACGTAACGTATTCATTACAAATCCATTTTAGCTTGTACCAAACTTTTAAGTGCAAAAAAACGAATATTATAATGCTAGATTCCAGGATTAGTCTACTTTAGGTATAAACATGTGAACACATTAATTAAATAGAGTTCCAAACGCAACAGAAAGAAAATAATCACGACATAGGTATGTCTTTTCCTATATCTCGGTTATACAAACAAACTCTGTATTGACCATGTTTGTTTTGCACACATTTAGCAACCAGATATCATCAAACAACACAAACATATCAGTTTCGTAGATTGCGTGTTTAGCCAACATCAATAGTTTCCGGCGACAAATCTTGTTGGTGTTTGTAACCGTTTGAGAATATATATAAACATCATCAAGAAGTGAACGTTAACCTTGATTTTCATTTGTTCTACATTATAAACTTGGTAAAAGATCCAAATATTAGCAAAAAAAAAAAAAAAAAAACTTGGTAAAAGATGTCAAACAAAACATCAAGGAACCTTCCTCTATTACTCGAAATGAAACAAACTGAACTCGTTAAACCCTCAAAGCACACTCCTCATGAAACCCTATCCCTTTCTACTTTAGACAGCGATGTTCTCAATGAAGACATGTACGCAACCATTTATGTTTACAAATGCAATGAACATAATAAAAATGATCCTGTCACTCTACTTAGGAAGGCTTTGTCCGAGCTTCTTGTCTATTATTATCCACTTTCAGGCAAGCTAGTAAGAGGAGAGAGTGGCCGAAAGCCTCAGCTAGTTTGCCAGGGTGAGGGAGTCCCATTTGCCGTCGCTACGGCATCATTAGACCTCACTTCTCTAGACTATTTGGAAAAACTTGATGATGAAGTTGCTTTGCGCCTTGTCCCTGAAATAGAAATTGATTATGATACTGATTTTTGTTATCATCCTCTAGCTTTGCAAGTAAGTATTTTCATTTTCTTGGATATATAGTACCAATATTATCTCTTTGTATTTTCCTAGGAATTTTTTTATCTATTGTTGACAACCTAATCAAGAAAGTTCATTGTTTATTTTGTGTTTCTTTGGAAGGTGACCAAATTTGCTTGTGGAGGGTTTACCATTGGCACTGCATTGACCCATGTTGTGTGTGATGGATTTGGTGTGGCTCAGATCATCCATGCTTTAACCGAGTTGGCTGCAGGAAAGAGTGAACCATCTGTGGTGCCAGTGTGGCAGAGAGAGCGGCTTGTCGGAAAAATTGATAATGAACCGGCCAAAGTACCTGGTGGCCACATTGCTAGTCTTTTGGCCACCTCACCGTACATGCCAACTACTGATCTGGTATATTGTTCACTTTTTAAATCTAACAGTATTGTTGATTTGAAACAGTTAATTTAGCTAGTTGATGTCATGTAATTTTTAGACCACAGGTAACAGTAAAGCTTTTTTTTTTGTTCAAAACATAATACAAAAAAAATCACCAAAATAATAATTTTAAGTAAATATATATATGTATATTATTTAGAGTTTAATATTTAAAGGTTGAAGTTAGAGTTAGGATTTATGAAATAGAGTAATTTAGTGTTTTTACTGATTAATAATACCTCTGTTTTATTTTAGTTGTCGTTTTAGGTTTAAGACAATATTTAATTTTGCATATTTCCAAAATAAGAAATAATGATGTAAATCTAACCACATTTCGACTAATAAAAAATAGAATAACATATAAATTAATAAATTTATACAGAAATCATAAAATATATTTATTTTAAGATAAAAATTTTACTCTACAACGATAAATAAATCGAAACAAATGGAGTAAATGATATTTTGAAGATTTATTTATTCGAAACAGAGGGAGTAAATGATATTTTGAAGATTTCTTTCTTTCAGTGCTAAAAATTAAAAATACTAATTATGAGTTTTTTTCATTCTTCTATCCATCAGGTCACGGAGATAATTAACGTTCAAGCTGTGAATATAAAGAGGCTCAAAGATTCTCTGATGAGAGAATGCGAGTTCCCTGAAGAGTGTTTCACCACCTATGAAGTACTTAGTTCTTGCATATGGAAGGCAAGATCTCGAGCCCTTAAACTAAACCCTGACGGGATCACTGTCCTTGCCGTAGCTGTTGGAATCCGACATGTTTTAGACCCACCACTTCCTCAAGGATACTACGGTAACGCCTACATAGATGTCTATGTCGAGTTAACCGTCAGAGAACTCGAAGAATCATCGATCTCTGACATCGCAAAGCGAGTCAAGAAAGCCAAGAAAACAGCCTATGACAAAGGGTATATAGAGGAGGAGCTTAGCAACGGAGAGAGACTGATGAGAGATGATGCCAAGTTCGAAGGTGTGAGTGATGGTGTGTTTTTCTTGACGGATTGGAGAAATATTGGTTGGTTTGGATCAATGGATTTTGGTTGGAATGAGCCTGTGAATCTGAGGCCGTTGACTCAGAGAGAGAGTGCAATGCATATAGGAATGATCTTGAGACCTTCTAAGTTAGATCCATCAATGGAAGGTGGAGTTAAAGTGGTCATGACGTTACCAAGAGATGCTATGGTTGGATTCAAGCTAAATATGGATGCTATGAACAAACTTTAGTTCCATGCATGAAAAGAATAAGTGAGTGCTTATATGCAACATGTAATAATGTACTATGAGATTATCATTGTGGAACCTGAAAATTATCATCACAGGTTCTAACATTGTTATACAATATATGAGATTATAATTTGTTTACCGGTTCTAAGTTTCTTCTTCCTCTTCTTCCGATGATAAGAAAGATTCATCCTGATTCACAAAATAAATGATTTCAGAGATTGACATGGTTCTAAGTAATGTTGCAAAGCTTCATCAAGGACCTTGAAGAGGATGATACTTTACCTCATCAGAAGAATAATCAGATTCATCAACTCTTAAATACAAGTTATCTTCTTCTCCATCACTTTTCTTGTGAGTTTCCTTATCCTCGTCCTAGATATCATTACAGTTTATTCATTAAGCAGTGATTAAAACTAGATTAGTCCACTATAAAAGCAAATCAGATTTCATCAAAACCTGTCCTGTCTTCAACAGCTCAATCCGTTCTTCTAAGTCAGCAACATGATGCTTTAGTGCCTGTCCAAACAAAGAAACCAATACTGATCAGAAGAGAAACTTTCCACACAAAAATCAACACTGTACGGTTTTAATAATATCATTACTTCTCTTCTTTGAAGCTCAATGGATCGAGCGAAAGCCTTTTTTCTAGTCAATAAGTTTGTAGGCCTAAGCCTGAATGGCATCTGATAGTTCTTCCCACGGTAGAGTATGATCGCATAGCCTTTCAAAGTATTATCAACGGATACCAATACTCCTCCACTCTCAGCTTCTAAAGAGATAGCTATATGCTTCACTTGTGGAAGAGATTTGCCTCTTACAATAATCTTTACGAGCTCCCTGTGTTTCCAGTGTAGATGCATATTCTCTATTGTACCATCATACACTTCTCTTCTTCCTGTAGAACGTTTAGAGAAAATGAACATTGCATTTTCTTATACAGATAGTAATGGCTTTAAGAGTCTTTTGAGCTTACCTACGAGGAGAAATGGATCCATACTCAAACCGATTTTTCGGTAAAGAAGTCTCTCTTCTTCTGTGATGATCTCTGAATCAGTTGGGAGATCAGATGGGTCAAGATCCTTTTGCACTTTAGCTAAAGCCTTCTCAGCTTTTCTCAACTTTTGTTTTGCCTATATAAACAAAAGAAACAACACTAAATGCTTTGTAATCAGATACCAAAAGAAGAGTGGATTACTCTATAAACTCACATAAAGAAGTCTCAAGTCAAGATCTCTGATCAACGCAGCTCTTTTAATAGAAGCTGATTCTCTCTTCAACTCCTCTACATCGATACTGCTTGCCTCTGGTGCCCACCGTGAACTTGCAGCTATAGTCTCAGCAAGAGTTCCAGCCAGCAACGGGGTTTTAGGCGGCTTGCTTTGTGATATTAGCGTAACTCTCGTTGAAGCTGTTTCCCGGAGTTGATCTTCTTTGGTTTGAAGAACTTCAGTTATCTTGTTTTGCCTCTCAGTCAACGCCTCTGAAACTGCAGGAGGCATGAAGTCATTACCTCTGTAGAAGACAATGTAGTCTTTGTTTCTTGAAACAAGTACACCGCGTGTAAGTCTCTTAAGTTCTTCAGCCATTCTCTCGTTCCGTGTGTTCTCCACTCCACGTTTGATTGCTATTTTCGCAATCGCGCTCTTTTCCCATAGCTTTACCATTGCTACAGCTAGTCCTTGTAACTCTCTGCTCCTCCCTAAACACAAAGAAACAACAGTCACTCAGGAGAAACACATACAAGATATGACAAAACTAAAAACCAACTCTATTGAACAGAACAGACACAAACAAAACCAAACCAAACTAATTTTGGTTGACTTTGGTTAAAGTTTTCTTAGACTCAAACAAACCCAGCCGAATCCAAATATGATCTCTATGCACATACCTAGAGCAAAATGTGGAGGGCTAGTCCTAGCGAGCCTCCGCATCTCAGTCATTTCCTTGTTAGACAAACAAGGTTTAACTCCTTGAGGAAGAATCCTAAAGGGACACCTATATCCCATAACCATAGTAGGAAGCAAGTCAGCATCAACAGGCAAAGGAGCACACCCTGTCCAATCACGAAACCTTGGACCAATCTCATCCAACAAATCATTCAGCTCACATAGCTCAGATAACTGCTCTTTCGGTACATTCTTCGGATAATTCACCTCCTCTGCTACGTACTCCCTTGACACCCCATTATGTTTGATAAAAGACTGAACACACTTGAGTTTGTAACTTATCCCTCTGTACAACACCACAGAGCTTCCTGACCTCCAAATCACTAACCCACCAGTCTTCTTCTGTTACACACAACAACAACAAAAATGAGTAAACACACATAATAAAAAATTATTCTTTTTTGAATATAGAAATTCATTAGAGATTGAGTAAAACACAAATTCCAAATAAGCAAAACTATATATAATGAATTGCCTTAAAACTTTGGTCATATACACTACTAAGTCAGAGTAGTTTTCTATATATATTTATTATAGAAATTCCACAACAAGATTTGAGTAAAACTCATTTCTTTTATTGAATCTAACCTCTAAAATCTCATGAGTTCTCTTCATGTTAAGTGAACAAGGCTCACTAAATCTCAGCTTCACAACCTCATCACCCTCCTCCCATTTCTCATGAATAGCTTCCACAAGGGCTTGTGTAATCCCACCAGAACCTACTTTCACCCTCTCAACCATCCTCAAAGCTACACTCCTAAGCCTACTCAGCTCATGCTCTGGTAAAACTCTCTCTGCTTCCAAAGTATTATTACTCTTTTTATTACTTCTCCACACTCCTTTCTCTCTCATCACTGTAACAACCTCCTCACCACTTGCATCATTATCCTTAAAGCTATCATAATCTTTAACTGCTTTAGAGACCCATGGGGGAGACATGTAACCGTTTGGTCTTGGGAAGCGGACCGGATTGGAAACCGGTTTTTTATCGGTTAAGACATAACCGGAAGACCGGTTTAGTTCTGATTCTTGATTTTGAGTTTGATTTTGCTTGTGCCAAGGAAAGGTGTTGTCTTTGGGGATGATTCGGGAAGCCCATTTGTCGCTGATCTCTTCGAAGAAACCCGGTTTGGGTTTTCTCTTCTTCTTCGTCTTCTTTGGGTCAGTGTCGGTATCAATGGCGGCTCTGATGGGAGTCGCGTGGTTGAAGCGGTGGAATCTAAGTCTGTGAATTGAAAGGTTAGAGCTTGGTAGAGGATGAGAAGAAGAAGAGGGAACAGTGTGCAGATTATTAAGTGGGAAGTGATAGAGCAGCGCCATGGATGATTGAGTTTTTGGGTAAAGGAGAGAACTTTGTAATATCCAGTTATTTTGCAAAACGTCGTCGTTTTAGGAGGGTATTTCGAAAACCCTCCGTTTTTGTAGTTGTGGATATAACATGTCTGCCGTTCTTGTTCATATAGAAAAGAATAACTTTCTCTTGAACAAAAAAAAAAAAGTAGAGATGAAACTTTTTCCTTAATAAATACTCCCTCTGTTTCGTATTAAGTGTCGTTGTAGAAAATTTTTTGCATTACAAAATAAGTGTTGTTTTCGATTTTCAATGCAAAATTTATTAATTTTATTATGTAATTTATTTTCTATTGGTTAAAATATGGTTAGGTGTATGGGTAATTGTGTTTTTATATAAGAAATATGTAAAATTAATTGTTTCCTTAATCTGTGTGCACATCTGTAGAGTGACACTTATAATGAAACAGAGTGAGTAAGTTTTAAATATTTCTATTCTGACAAACAAAAAAATTTAAAATTTAAAATATTTTCTAAATAGTATTTCAAAAGAAAATGTTTGAGAAAAAATGTATATTCGCTACAGTATTTAACTTACTTTTTAACCTTATGCATTGTTATATTTTTAAGAGCATTTGTATTGGTCAGATAATCCTTCTTAGCATTTCAACTAATAAAAGAAATATTATCTTAGGTTATTTAATTTTATTTACTTTTTAACCATTCTAGCCAATAGAAAATTGACATACCAATGCATGAGTCTCTTCCCAAATCACTATTATTTCTTTACGACGTACGTACCTATCTTTCTTCTCCCCTCTACTTTGTTAAGAGAAGGATTTACTGCACACAAAGAGCTGAAAAAGCTTAGGAATGTAGTTCTGAATATGCATGGTTCATAACTTCGTATACTAATAAGTCCAAAGTTTAGCTCTTTTTCTCTTGTGGTTCAAAAAAAAAAAGCTATTTTCTTGTGTAAGGCATCAAAGTATTCTTTATCTTAGTTAATTATCGCAGAACTGGATTATCTTGTCGGTTTGATTTTCAAGTTATAGCCAATTAGGTGATCCTCCAGCTGATTACCATCGATCACTTAAAACACATGCACTTGTTCTAATCTAGTGGGTTTAGTAAAATACAAGATTCAGCATCATATATTAATCATCTAATCGTATTTATCTGCTTAGCCGACAATTCATAAATAGAGACTAGTTGGATGAAGGCAAAGTAAAATAAGATAAAATAATGCATGATCAAGGATAAAAAATAATAATTTAAAACTTCAGTTAATAAAAGATAATGCAAGACACAATTAAAGTAAGGTGATTTAAAAAAAAAGGGTAAGGTGATTTAAAACTTCACTAATAAAAATATAATGCAAGACATGATTAAAGAAAATTAAAGTAAAATGGTTTTAAAATTTCACTAGTTAAACATAAAGCAATTCAAGATCCAGAAACAACCTAAAAACTGTGCTTGAGGTAAAAGAGGCATAAGAATATTAATAAGCTTAGGTTTAGACACATTTTGAAACTATTTATAGTGAATTGGGTTAATCCAAATAAACTGGGTCGGACACTGACTTCGTTCTTCTTGTCTACTTTTCTTCATGCTCCATCCCCTCATCAAGCCCCTATTCTTCACTATGCTCCATGAATACCTCCCTGACTCAGTCATAATGTATAATGTTTGAAAATCAAATAAAAATTCAAATGCAATATATGTTTGTGCCACAATGATGCCAAATGAAAAAAAGTATAAGAGACAAATCCAAGCTAAAACTACACATCAAGTCGACATTTCATTGGATTATTAGTCAATGTATATATGTTGAAGTAATGTGCATGAACTAGTACCAATTTAACATACTGTCTTAATTAGTATATTAGTTTATACCTCTTATTTCATATTATTCAGTCATTTGATGTCTAATCTCTTTTATGATGCGGGACATTCCTAATCAAACAAAAAACAATCACGCAAATGTAACCGAGAAAAAAATAAATATACAATTCTCATTACGTGTTCACATATAAAATTAATTAATTTCATACATAATCCTTTTTTTAGAACTGGCTTCATTCATACATAATCTGTGAGCAGAAAAAATTCCTGCAAAAGCGGGTTGTGTTAAAGAATGCCATTCTCTCTTTTAAATAAAAGATGTTGTAAATGGTATTCAAAAATGAGATTTAAGACCAGAAACCAAACAAAGTTATAAGACCAGTCATTGTTGGTGGTAACTGGTAACTAGCGCTAGCAACGTGAAAACGAAGAGGACGTTCGTTTAAATATTATACATTCTGAAAGTGGTAAGTTTAAAATACGCTATATAAACATCATACATATGTTTTATAGTATACCCTCTAAACTGAAACGAGATGGCAAACCAAACAAAACCGATCGTATCTCTATTACTCGAAAAGAAACCACTTGAGCTTATTAAACCCTCAAAACATACTCCTTCTGAAACTCTCTCCCTCTCTACTTTGGACAATGATCTTTTCAATGAAGTTATGTACGCAACGATTTACGTTTTCAAAGCCAATGAAAAGAACCAAAATGATCCTGTCCCTTTGCTTAGGAAGGCTTTGTCCGAACTTCTTGTCTACTACTATCCCCTTTCAGGCAAGCTCATGAGACGAGAGAGTGACCGAAAACTTCAGTTAGTTTTTTGGGGTGAGGGAGTTCCATTTGAGGTCGCTACTGCATCCGTGGAGCTCTCCTCCCTCAACTCTATAGAAAATCTTGATGACCAAGTTGCTTTGCGCCTTGTGCCTGAAATTGAAATAGACTACGATAGCAATGTCTCTTATCATCCACTAGCTTTGCAGGTAGCTTTTCATTTTTTTTTGTGATAAAAATGTAAAGAAGCTTTTCATGTTCTTGATAATGGAAGATTATATATATATATATATATATATATTTTTTTTTTTTTTTTTTTTTTTACCAAAAAAAATATAT